TCTTTCCTTTTGTTTTAAATAGTGAAAGAATTTTTTTTGATTTCTCAGAGTAAATAAGTTTTGCATAAAGAACTGGAGCTGATGATTCATCAACTTTTGTTTTCTTTTTTCCTTTCTTGTCTGTATATTCTTCTTTTTTAAAATAAAATGGTGAAGATAGAGATGATGCTAAATCTACTCCATATTCATTTTCTAGATGTTTCTGAGATAGAGTTGTTACATTATTAATAACATCAAAAAATGCTTTTTCTTTACTACTCGGTTCACTATCTTTAGCCCAAAGACATACTGGAATACTATAACCTACTAACTTACCTGTTTCTTGATTTTTCTTTTCATTTACTCCAAAAGAGAAAAGAACTGGAGTTTCGATTACCAGTGGTCCTTTTTTGTTATTTGGATATTTGACTTCAATTGGAATACGTTTGTATTTAATCTTGTTGTTTTTTACTTTAAACTCTTTGGCTTCGTTAAAGATAATATTCTCTTGGGTAATATTTTCGTAGCTGGACAGTTGCATTTTTATTAATATTTAGATAATCTTTAAGCCATAAATCACTTTTATTTTTTAGGTCAGAGAAGATGAACTGACCAATAGTTACTCGATTCTGGATTAGTATAAGTTAATTCTCCCTGTTTATTTTTAATCTTTGTAGCTCGAGACAGATATTTATCTCGTCGATCTTTGTCTTTATGAATAGTGTAGTCTGGGTATTTTGGTGAACCAAAGTGAACTTTCTTTCCACCTGGAAGTGTAGCCATATATTTGTTATTTTTTCGGGTTGAATAATCAAGTGTTTCTGCACCAAGTTTTTTAGCATTTCTGGTTAATCTCTTAAACTCTGGTCCTTTAAGAATAAATTTTTCGTTTGGGACATAATCTGGGTCCTCATCATGTCTATAACCATCATCAACTATAAATTCCAAATCCTCTTTTGTAGGAGTAGTCTTTCTTGACCTTGGTTCCATTTTTTATTAGTTGGATATATTATTTCTTCTTCAAACTTGTAACAAAAATGTTATAAGTTTAAAAATCATCGTCACTATCACTTTCACTTTCACTTTCACTTTCACTTTCACTTTCACTATCAAAAATATTAACAATATGTTCTTCTTTTTTTATTTTATCATTAAATAAACAAATCAAATTAAAAAGCTCTCTAAAACCTGGAAAGTCAATATCTATATTTAATTCATAAGATTCCTCATCAAATCAAAATTAGCATTTCATTATGAATTAACTGCTAATCCAAACGCTGATTATAATATTTACGCATTAGTCTTACATGAAAGAATAGCAGAAATATCACAACAAGATGGAAAACTATTGCTAAGAGCTTAATATTAAATAAATCACCACTAACTCTAAATTAATATAAGAAATAAATAAAAATGGAAGAAACAGAGTTGGATAATGAGTATGAAATTAAAAGATGGGAGTATGAAAATAAAGAAATTAGAAGAAAAGCTATATTAAAAGTATTAAACACAAAAATAGATAACTATATACCCTCTATTGTTTTTATTACAGATTTTCAAGTGAGGAAATTTTATGATATTTGTGTTGATAAAGTTAAACATAAATCATATAGTTTTACTATTAATTACAACAAACCATATGAACTTCATCATTTTGTATTTTTTCTTACGAAAAAACAAATAAAAGAAAACCAAAAAGCAAGGAGAAAAAGAACTAAGTATACTATTACTTTTTCGGGTGAGCATTTTAAAAAAACATGTTTAAAATCATTAGAATTAACTGACAAAATAGATTATATCCTTAGGTATAAACTTTTATCTGTTGGACAAAAAAGTATTTTATACGATGATTTATTTGTTCTATATAATGAATTAAGTAATGATAATGACAAAAAATATCTAAAAGAAATAAATAAGAAAATAAATAAAATAAATCAAAAATTAAATCAAAAACCTATACTAGTTCCTAATAATTTAAGTAAACTTAATATACCACCAGAAAAACTCAAGAAAGATTTCACTTATATAAATTATACAAATTATGATGATATTGATAATACACCCAAAAAAAATACAACAAAAAAAATACAAATAAAACACCAAAAAATTAATCTTCCTCCAATTAATCTTCCTCCAATTAAACGAAAAGGTAATAAAAAGATACATCAAGAAATTTTGGATTCATATAAAAACCGAGATTATTTGAAAGAGGATTCTTCAGATGATATGAGTTCTAAAACATTTTATAAGATAGCAAAAAAATACAAACTACAAAACCAACTTAAGCATTTAAAAGAAGAAAATGCTAAAAAAGCAAAACAATTAAAGTCTTTGAAATCTAAACAAGGTAAAATTAATCTTGATACCTTTGTTAAAAATACACTAAAAAAATATAAAAAACCTAAACCTAAGAAGAAAAGTATATGGGATGTAATTGATTTTCCTAAACCACTTGTTATCTAAATAATAAAATAAAATGACAACTTATTTTGAATATGGTGTAACCCTTACAGATGGGCAAAAGTCAAAATTGGCTTCTGCAATATTAAATAAATCACCACTAACTCTTCGGTTAAAACACTCTCATCTTCGAGGTTCTGATGAGTTAATGTTAACAAAAAGACAAATTTCTAAAATAAAAAAATCTATTGCAAATGGCACTGGATCAGATATAAAAATAAGTAAAACACAGATTAGAAATTCTGTAAAACATGGTGGAAACTTATTTTCATCACTCGCATCTCTTGGTGCGCGAGTACTACCTTACGCAATAAAAGGAATTTCAAAAGCTGTTCCTGCATTAGCAACTGGTGCTGCTACTGCACTTGGAGAAATTGGATTAAATAAAATATCTGGAAAAGGAATCCCAATTCCACAAAAGTTCTTACCAATGTTACCAACAATAAGAGGAGAATTAACAAAATCACAAATAGATCTAATAAACAAAATGTATCAATCAGGTGGGCGATTAGTTATCAAACCAACTCGTAAACAGATAGAAGGAGGATTTCTTGGAACTCTTGCTTCTATTGGAATTCCAATGGCAATTAGCCTGGTATCTAAGATGTTTGGATCTGGACTGCAGGTTGATAGACGTGGATCATCTAATACATCAAATGTTTACGTTCCACCTCCTCCTCCCCCACCAACACATGGTGAAGGTTATCCTTATTACCC